GAAATTTCTTAGAAACTGTAAAAATATTTCCAATTAGTAGGTCTCACCCTAACCACTTTGGCAAAGTCTTGGGACTATTGTCTACTTGTGCTGATGCCTAACCCATTAAGCATGTTCCACGAGCTACACTGCTGCATACATCATACTTAATTTGTCAATGATTTCCTAATAAAGAGAACCTGAAATTCAGTGACGAATTTTTAGGAGAATAAATTGGCACTAAAACTGGCTAAAGATTACAGTACACGAGCATGAACAAAACTTACTTTATTGAGTCAGCAACAGTGTCTTTATTTACTACTGGGTCTTTCATTTGAGAGCATGAAGTGAATGTCATGGTGCTGGTGTGCTTCAGTAACAAGTGACCTCAAATACAGGAGCAGATAAAACAGTACTGCTCATAAATAAAGTCTGATTTCAACCTAACAAGCTTACTCAAACTGCACGAAGGTTCAAACCAGATGATGAGACGAGCGGACCATGAAGCAAGTAGTTTGAGAGATTAAGAAAAACAAAAATACATTTCAGTTGAAAAAACTTTTAGGTGAGAGCACTTGTGTCAAGGAACTATAAATGGGTGGATAATAAAATATGGATCTTGAAGAATTATGGTATGAGGATGTGGACTGGATTCATGTTATACGTCACTTACACGTCAAAGTCACTGAAAAACTGTTTTTTATACAAATCCAAGTGTGTTACGAACTAGTTACATGGTTGAATACAAATCTGTATTATAAAAACATATTTTTTATTGACAATTTCTGAGCCTGTCATGAATATTTACCTATTTTATTGCTGTTCAGCACATTTCAGCAAGCAGACTGTGGACGGAAGTGGACAAAATGTTCAAAACTTCTGCAATTTAAAGGAATTCCATGTCGCCGTGAAAAATTGGGGGCGGAGGTTATAAGTTGATAGGTAGTCAATCTTCTTACCGATTGCGCTACTGACTACAACATGCTCATTTACATCGCATTTACTTATAATGACACATAGGTGGCAGCGCATTATACACGGCGCTATGTTCCCCGTCGGCATTGCAGTTACACATCAATTGACATCTGCAGCAAGCTGATCGGAGGATGCTGCTGGAGATGTTGGTCTTTAGAAAATCAAGGAGGGAATAAGATTCGTTGTAATACGTCAGGGCTAATCAAATTAAGCTCATTAAGTTGCAAAATGTGGCCAGAATGAGGGCATTGGCGGTGTCTGTATGGATTTTCATCAACCTTGTGCTCGTGGGCATGTGCGGATACATATACCTACTGTGGTCCCAGTATTGGCACTATGTTGAGAGGCAACATGAACGCATGGCAGGTCTCATTAGTAGCGGTGGCGGTGGCGGTGGCGCCGGCGGCGGCAGCGGCAGCCAGATATTCTACTACCGCAACAACGACCCTCCCTCCTCCTCTACAACAGACCCAGACGTCACCGCTGTTTCGTCTAGAAACCATGTCAAAGCATATACATGGTGTAAGTATGTGGTTAGGTTATATGGAGCGCTCCACGTGACACTGCATAATTTCTCTGAATGTCGTAGGTTACAGACTATCCCAAATTTACCAAAACAGTCGTTGAGTAATGAGAACCATTTAAGTATGGAGCTGCAGCCAGTCTTTGCAAAATTATAACTTCGCCTTAACATATGCTTCTTCATTCTTTGGGGTCTGACAAAGAAGTCGTGGGTGGATACATCTCTGTGTCCGAGAAGCCCATGTCTCATATGTATATTGTGCCTAGTTTTGTAAGAATTACTTGGCATTTGACGCTGTACTCATCACTATTTTAATTTCTCTCCTTCCCAGTTTTTGAAGACAACTCTGATCACATCAGGAAATGTGGCAATGTAGAGAATTTTCACTTACAAAGGGGTCAAAGTTTTAATGACACTGAAATGCACAAGAAATAACTCAACATACTTTTCATTACTAAAGTATGACATTTTCAGTGTACTGACACTGTGTTCCCTCATTTCTGTTGTATACTGTATGCAGATTTAAAGATGAATGAGAATGGTAGCAGTGCCCCCCCTCCAACCACGATCAAAGAAGCAAACAAGGTCTTGGGAGGCAGCTGGTACCATCTACACACTATTATAC